AGTAAGGTATATAGCCTGTGTATCCACCCTTATAGACGGTGTCTCAATGTATAAACCTTGAGTTCCTAAAATGACTATAATAGAAGGATGGGAGAATATGTTATCTCTGTCCACAGTTTCAAATCAATCTTCTCTCCGTCCCTCCTAAACTCTTTGGTTTCAATCATAATTTTATTTAATATTTACATTTAATAAATACATTCAATACTTTAACAAGATTCAGGAAAAAGAATGGATTAACAAATTCCTTCCAAAAATTATTTTAGGAGACGAAAATATTTCGTATACTTAAATTTTTAAGAAAAATACATTCAAGGGGTTCAGCAAAATTTAGGATCATTTAGGTTTTGATCAAGAATTAAAAATAACACCAATTGTAAATTTTTCTATATTTATGGATTAGATACATCTATGGATCTCACGATTTTAGTTCAGGTCTGTTTTAAGTTATTATAAAACTGTTTGATTTTAACGATATTTAAACATTGGACTTCCTCCATAACATATATGTTCAGTCCATTATACTTCATTTATTCTTCATATTTACGATACATTAAGTCCTAGAGAAGCAATGGCTAGGTTAGCTAAAGTTTAAAGGGACTGTATGCGTGATATCAAGTGGATTAAAGGGACTGTATGCGTGATATCAAGTGGATTAAAGGGACTGTATGCGTGATATCAAGGGACCCTCCATGAAAAGATGGTGATGCCAGATTAACAACAGTACCCTTAAAAATGTGATCAATATCAATTAGATATCAATGATTATAATTTTGAAAACGGAAGATTTTCAACTGTGGTTTCTCTAGAAAAGTGACCTGCAAAGTTAAACTGCAGAAAACAAATAGAAAATATCAGAATTTAACACAGTTAAACCTAATAAATAACGACGAAATCTTTCACATTATTGATCAGATAAATGTTTGAAGGATTTGAAGTGTACCGTTGTGAATCGGACATTGCTATCTTTGCAATGAGGGTCACTTGAAATTCTGCTTACAGTCCCTTTAAACAATAACATTTAACGCGCACAGTCCCTTTAATTCACTTGAAATTATGCGTACAGTCCCTTAAATCCACTTGAAATACTAGTATATATGGGACATCTAGCCATTTGGGAAAAGGACTTTGATAATAAAAAGGATAAAGGGATTAGAACATGTTGTTTAATGAAGAGAAAAGTGACTGAGCGATGGGAAACATATTAAAGTAAATTAAGAAGTGTATGAGGAAGGGGAAAGGTGTTCAGAAATGGGATAGGTTCAGAAAGAAAAACGGTTCAAAAATGGGAATGGTTCAGAAATGGGAAAGACTCAAATTGGAAATTGTTCAGAAATGGAAAAGGTTCAGAAATGGAAAAGGTTCAGAAATGGGAAAGGTTCAGAAATAGGTAAGGCTCAGAATGGGATTGGTTCAGAAATGGAAAAGGTTCAGAAATGAGAGTGGTTTAGAACAGGCAACGGTTCAGCAATGGGAAAGACTAAAAATGGGAATGGTTCAGAAATGGAAAAGGTTCAGAGATGGGAAATGGAAAATTGTTCAGAAATGAGAATGGTTTAGAAATGCCATCGGTTCAGAAATGGGAATGATTCGTAAAGAATACAATCAGGAATTAGGAACAATGCCGTAAGGAATGAGGAATAGTGCTGTGAGAAATGATGAATGAGGATCAGTGCCGTCAGGAATAAGGAACAGTGCCGTGAGTAAAAAGAAACTGTGCCGTTTGGAACCATAAACATTTTCATGAGGAATAAGAAACAGTGTTGTTGGGAACCTGACATAGTATCGTTAGGAATAAGTAACAGTGCCGTGAGGAATGAGGAACAGTGCCGTGAGAAACGGGACACAGTGGCACAAAACACAAGGAAATGTGCCGTCAGCGAATGAGAAATAGCGTTTTAAGGAACGGGACACAGTGTTGTTAGGAATAAGTAACAATACCGTGAGGAATGAGAAACAGTTCCGTGAGGAACGGAGCCTTCGTGTCATAAAAATAAAGAAACGTGCCGGGAGGAATGAAGAGCATGAAAGGGTAAAGTTGCCCAGTTCGGATTTAACTTGTAATATAGGGTTCGATAAAAAATATAAAAATGAAATTAAGCTAATACAAATTCTTTAATGTTAAAAGCAATGTTGTCTAGATCTACATATAATGTTGTCCAGACCTTAAAACATAGATATATTGTTGTTCAGACCTAAGCACATATACAGGATTATCCACAAAGAATGCGACTTCAGAGACGACTGTACAAAATGGTTATGCTCTTATTTCTAACATTCAAAGGTCCCTGCAGCTTCAACCTTGATTCTTTTTTTTGCCAAATGATTTATAATTATTAAAAGTAACTATATTTAAGACAGAATACCAAAGTAAACCTGTAAATAGCCATGTTTGCAGAATTTTTGGTCTTTTTTAAAATCGCTTCCTTTGTGGGTAACCCTGTATAATATTGTTAAGACCTAAACGTACACATATATATCCTAAGGTTCTCTTCCAGTGTAGTACAAAGTACATAGTACACCTACAATAGTTGAATGGATCCAGAGGTCCTGTTCTCGTGTAGTACACAGTACACAGTTCACAGTACACCCATCTATAGTTTAATGTATCCTGAGGTCCTGTTCTAATGTAGTACAAAGTACACAGTACACAGAACACATACATATATTTGAAGGGGTCCTAAGGCCCTGTTCTAGTGTAGTTCACAGTACACCTACCTATAGTTTGATGGATCCAGGTAGTGTTCTAGTGTAGAACAAAGTTCAGAGTACACCTAAGTCCTGTTCTAGTGTAATACACAGTACACAGTACACCTACCTATAGTTGAATGGATCCTAAGTTCCTGTTCTAGTGTAGTACATAGTACACAGTACACAGTACACAGTACAAAGTACACCTACCTATAGTTGAATGGATCCTGAGGTCCTGTTCTAGGAATAGTTCCAATATTTCCAGCGTGGTTTCTGTACTCAGACGTGGATTCCCCTGTTCCTGTCTTTCTATATCCTTTGGAACGCTCCGCGCCACTTAAAGTATATTATGCAAATACAAATCTTCAAATAGACATGTAGATTAATCTATTAATGAACCGTTCTCAATTAACTTTTGTCTACCTGTGATGATATGATCCAGAATATTGTCCTTGTCTACGGGTCTGCAGGGTTGAATATGCATCCTTAAAAGTTTTTAAATTGAAGAAAAATATGTAAGTAAGCCTCCAAATGGGTAAGTAAGTAAATTTTTAAGAAACAATGTGTACTAAACCAAATATGGAGTTATAGTTTGATTTTTAATTATATTCAGTATAGTCAACTAACTTCGGGCCAACCACTCAAACCAATCTACCCTGGTTAGGCGGGTCCAAACTGCATAGTAAATTGTGATTGCTTATTTGTAATATCGAACGCTTTGTAGTTAAATAAAAATATGAAATAAAATATGAATGAGTTGTAGTAAATGCCGTACTTGTAAAACTGCTATCAGAACCGTATCAGTCCAGGTACAACGCGTAAACTATCAATGCCAAACAAGGACACGATCTCATAAGGCTTCAGTGTCAACACAAGATCCAAACTATCAATGCCAAACCAATGAGCACGATCTCATACGCTTCAATGTCAACACAGACACTGTAATCAACGCGGAGTATATTCCAACTGACGTATATCTAGATATCTATGTTACAGGTTAAGTTTAAGTTTATATTTATAAGATTAGCGCAGATATATATCAGCTTAGTTAATCTAATCACTTACGTAGTTATAAGTTAATCACAATACAGGTTTTGGCGTATTTACAGACGTAGCTAGGCTAGGATAATTGCATTACAAGTTTTGCGTAGTTATTGATAAGCGCATTTAGACTTACAGACAATGTACAACATAATAAATCTAGGAATGTTCAGGTTAACAAATATGGGGATTACTACTGTATTTGCTACAGAGTAAGGTATATACCTGGGTTGGAGTTGACGAATAAGGTATATTCCTGGGTTGGAGTTGAAGAGTAAGGTATATAGCTGGGTGGAAGTTGAAGAGTAAGGTATATACCTGGGTTGGAGTTGAAGAGTAAGGTATATTCCTGGGTTGGAGTTGCAGAGTAAGGTATATACCTGAATTGGGATTGAAGAATAAGTTTTATACCTGGGTAGGAGTTGACGAGTAAGGTATATACCTGGGTTGGAGTTGACGAGTAAGGTATATACCTGGGTTGGAGTTGCAGAGTAAGGTATATACCTGGGTGGAAGTTGAAGAGTAAGGTATATACCTGGGTTGAAGTTGCAGAGTAAGGTATATACCTGGGTGGTAGTTGAAAAGTAAGGTATATACCTGGGTTGGAGTTGCAAAGTAAGGTATATACCTGGGTGGAAGTTGAAGAGTAAGGTATATACCTGGGTTGGAGTTGCAGAGTAAGGTATATACCTGGGTTGGAGTTGCAGAGTAAGGTATATACCTGGATTGGGATTGAAGAATAAGTTTTATACCTGGGTAGGAGTTGAAGAGTAAGGTATATACCTGGGTTGGGATTGAAGAGTAAGGTATATACCACGGTGGGAGTTGAAGAGTAAGTTACATACCTGGGTTGGAGTTGGAGATTAAGGTACATACCTGGGTGGAAGTTGCAGAGTAAGGTATATACATGGGTAGGAGTTGCAGAGTAAGGTATATACCTGGGTTGGAGTTGGAGAGTAAGGTGTATACCTGGGTAGGAGTTGAAGAGTAAGGTACCTGGGTTGGAGTTGAAGAGTAAGGTATACACCTGGGTTGGAGTTGAAGAGTAAGGTATATACCTGGGTTGGGGTTGGAGAGTAAGGTATATAGCTGGGTTGGAATTGGAGAGTAAGGTATATACCTGGGTTGGAGTTGGAGAGTAAGGTATATAGCTGGGTTGGAGTTAAAGAGTAAGGTATATACCTGGGTTGGAGTTGGAGAGTAAGGTATCTCAGACGGAAAGAATGTAGTGTTGAGAGGATTTGAGTACCATGTTATACATTCCTAAATTTTAACAGTTTATTTCTATGAGAAATGTTTAAACTTATTTCTCTCTCCAGGTTCCTCCTGTAAGGGAGAAAAGTAGTTTGGTTAATTAAGATCAAAGTTTTATTACAATTTTTACTTTTACTTCAGTGTTTAATTAGAACGGGACTAACAAGACACTTTAACCTAACTAATTCTAGTTTTGGAAAACAGTTTAACAAACATTATTTTTCTAATTCTATCTTAAATTCTGGAAATCTTTTCGAATTCCTTCCAACCTTTAGAGAGCACAGGAAATCTGTTCATAACTACTAAAATTATTTCTAAACGGTAGTAAACCTTTCCGAGCTATTTCGGAATTTTCTAAACTACAGGAAACCAATCTATACTTTAGGAAACACACCAGAAGAAAGCTTTCTGAATTATAGAAAACCTTTCTAAACTATTTGAGACTTTTTAAAACTACAGCTGAAACCTTTTTTAACTACAGGAAACCCTTCTAAACTATAGGAAACCTTTCTAAACTATAGGAAACCTTTATAAAAATATAGGAAACCTTTATAAAACTATAGGAAACCTTTATAAATTACAGCAAACCTTTATAAACTATAGGATAGAATTTTGAACTTCAAGAAACTTATCTAGATATTAGGAAATCTTTTCAAACTACTGGAAACCTTTAAAAACTTCAGAAAACCTATTTGAACTATAGGAAAACTATCTAAACATTAGAAAACTTTCTAAACTACAAAAAACCTTTCTAAACTACAGCTGAAGCCTTTCTAAATTACAGTAAACCTTTCTAAACTACAGAAAACTTTTCTAACCTACAGGAAATCTTTCTAAATTTCAAGAAACCTTTTTAAATTACAGGAAAGCATAATAATCTTTTGGAAACCAATCTAAACCACAAGAAACCTTTCTAAGTTACAGAAAACTTTTAAAACTACAGGAAACCTTTCTAAACTACAGGAAACCTTTTAAACGTTACAGGATATCTTTCTAAACTTCGGGAAACCTTTCTAAATTGCAGAAAATCTTCCTAGACTTGCAGGAAACCTTTCTAAATTACAGGAAATCTTTCTAGACTTCAGATAACCTTTCTAAACTATTGAAGACCTTTCTAAACTACTGGAAACCTTTATAAATTACAGGAAACCTTTTTACACTACAAAAAAACCTTTTTACACTCCAGGAAACCATTTTACACTACAGGAAACCTTTTTTACACTACAGGAAACATTTCTAAACTACAGGAAACCTTCTTGAATTACAGGAAATCTTTCTAGACTACAGGAAACCTTTCTAAATTACAGGAAATCTCTCTAAATCACATGAAACCTTTCTAAACTTCAGGAAATCTTCCTAAACTACAGAAACCTTTCTAATTTACAGAAATGTTTTCTAGACTTCAGGTAACCATTCTAAACTATTGAAGACCTTTCTAAACTACTGGAAATTTTTCTGAATTACAGGAAATCTTTTCACACTACAAGAAACCTTTTTACACTACAAGAAACATTTCTAAACTACAGGAAACCTTTCTAAACTGCAGGAAACCTTTCTAAACTACAGGAAATCTTTCTAAATTACAGGAAACCTTTCTAAATTACAAGAAATCTTTTTAATTTAAAGACTCGACCCCTGAGAAATTATATATGGAGCAGACCCACCTGGTCTGGATTAACTTCTTCAGGTTTAGTGTTGATAATATTCTGGATTCGATTTTTCAAGATCGGTTTACAAGCAACCTATGTATAAAATCATATTTGCGTCCATATTTATTAACTGTGAATAATAATCACTATTTGATTTTATCACAATAAATCGTTATTTATTTATTTATTTATTTATATTTTCTTATAAAAATTTCAGTGGTTAACCATTTCCCTGCAAGATGCTATTTTTCTTTGTAAATCGTAAAACCAATAATTTCTCGGATTTCTCTGTTTAAATTAGTGCATTTCAAAAATAATGAAAATCAACACTTTTTAATTTGACCGAGTTGCCACAAAAAAATGAGGGCCCGATCGGTTCAGCCGACTTTGACCTTTATTGTAGACACGCAGACAAAAAAAACAGATAAGCTGAATATATATATATCTACATATTTAAATTATAAAAGAATAATTTACCCGATTTAATGGAGCAGCTGCAGGTTTAGCTTCCTCTACCTTACTCTCTAAATATTTTCAAAATTTTAAATATTTTCTTTTTAACTCAGAAACAGTTTTTCATTATACACTGTATACATATTTAACCGATGTTAGACTTTTGGGCATCTCTGATCCAACAATGTAAATTAGAGATTACAATAATAATTTTATTCGACGTATTCGTACATAGTTGATATTTCATAATATTTTTTACTTGTTTCATATACGATGTACTTCAAACGACATTTTTTTTTGTATAAGTCGTGTTCTCATTCTCAGATTAGTAGCGATCACTATCAAATTTTTTTTCGACTTAAGCCTATATACCCCCTATAATTTTTCGCGAACACTCCCTTTAACATTTAATTTTTTTGGTAATTTCTGTACTGTATACCTGAACTGAGCTGTAGATTTGATATGTCAATATTTCCGCATCTATTGCTTGCATATCCAGGTTCTAAAGACCAATAAGCAATGTGAGGAATTATTTTGTACACTTTCATGAAGTGAATTTACAATGTAAACCCAAGAAAAGACTAACAACTCCAACAAGGACTTTTTCAAATAGTTTTTGGTGACTTTTTGTATTTATGTAGGTTATATAAATATATGAAGCATATTTTGTGTACCCTGTATCAATGTTTACCATATGCAATTCTTTCACTATTTAGGTTCATATAACATATGTATGTTACACATATTTATCTAGATTTTATAAACAATTTTTACTATATGTATGATTTAACCAGGTATAAAAATGATATTGGATGTATGTTTTTATCCTGTGTATCATAATTTCTGAATGTTAAATAATCTATATCTGTATCCAGAATCTTTATATAAGTACATCATTTCTTGAGTCAAGATCAATATAATCTTGTGTAAAATTAAGTTGACGAATGAGTGCTGCAAATTATTTAAAAAATCAAAGACGATTCTCAAATCGTCTCTCAACTGACATATTTTGCAGGACACCCTGTATATCAAGTACAGCATTTAAAAATGTGCATGATGTTACACAAAAATATGATGGAATCCTACCATATCTGTCAGACTTTTGTTGAAAGGCGGGGAACTCAGGACACTCCTCCTCATCCCCTCCTTCCCCCTCCTCCTCCTCCTCCTTATCCTATAAAAGATTGACGGATGAGCATAAACGTGGAAAATAGATAAAACTAGAATTCATTTAAGACAATCCCATGTTAGAGGAAAGAGAGAATGAATGGATGGTGTTTAGAGAAGAGGGAAAGGGGAGAAAGGAAAGTTTTTATATGAGAGAGAGTGTTAAAATGGGGGGGGGGATAGAAAGGAAGGTGTTTATAGGAGGGAGAGAGAGGGAGACAAAATGGTGTTTAGAGGGGGGTAGAAAGGAAGGTGTTTAGAGGAAGGAGAGAGAGGGAGAAAGGATGGTGTTTAGAGGAGAGAGAGGGGGAAAGGATGGGTTTAGAGGAAAGAGAGGGGGAAAGGATGCTGTTTAGAAGGGGAGGGAAAGGAAGAAAGGATGGTGTTAAGTTGAGAGAAAGGGAGAAAGGATGCTGTTTAGAGGAGAGAGGTAGAAAGGATGGTGTTTATAGGAATAGGCAGGAAGGATGGTTTTTAGAGGGGGAGGGAGAGAAAGGATGGCGTTTAAAGGAGAGAGAGGGAGAAAGTATAGTGTTTAGAGGAGAGAGAGGGAGAAAGGATGGTGTTTAGAGGGGGAGAGAGAGAAAGGATGGCGTTTAAAGGAGAGAGAGGGAGAAAGTATGGTGTTTAGAGGGGGAGGGAGAGAAAGGATGGCGTTTAAAGGAGAGAGAGGGAGAAAGGATAGTGTTTAGAGGAGAGAGAGGGAGAAAGTATGGTGTTTAGAGGGGGAGGGAGAGAAAGGATGGCGTTTAAAGGAGAGAGAGGGAGAAAGGATGGTGTTTAGAGGAGAGAGAGGGAGAAAGGATGGTGTTTAACGAGAGAAAGGCGAGAAATGTTGTGCGTAGATCAAAAAGAGGAGAAAAACGTTTTTGATAATGTGCTGAGAAAGTAAGATGTGGGGGGATATGCGTTTAAAGAGTACGGGGGGGGGGAGTGTGGAAAAGGAGATGTTTTGATGGAAAAGAGGGGTGAAAAATATGCTGTTAAGAAGGGATAAGAGCTTTGCTTTGAGGAGAGAGAAGAGGTCTAGAAGATATACAGATAGAATGGGAAGAAGAAACTGAGTATAAAGAGAGGATTCTGAAAAAAAAACGAATTGAGTCTTTGCCACAAACTCAAATTTTCAAACCTCTATATCTTTTCAACCTAATAGCGTAATCCTTTAATATTTCAAACTTAGTCTATTTGATCTAACAGAATTGATATTTTGAAATATCTAAGGTCTAGGATATTTGGTTGAGAAGATATAAACATTAGAAAATAAGATTTTGTTGCAAAGACTCATTTCCTTTATGGAGCAAACCTTGGATAAGCTGTTCACCTCTCTAGATCTTATTCTAAAGTAAATACAAATATCAAGGAACAGGTTATAACTATCTCGGTATTTAAACCAATTACTTGGGAATTGTTGAACAATTTAAGTTAAAGATCAACAGGTGCTTTATTTTATTTCAAAGATAGGATATGGAATATAAAAGTAGTTTATGGGTTTAAGAATAAAAAGCAGACTCCTACTTATTTCTTTAAAAGAAATCTAAATTTTCCATTTGTTTTGTATTTTCCTGTCAACTTTCTCCCTTCCCACACAGTGATCCATAACAAGGAGCTTCTTCCCTGAACCCTGAACACAGGTCGGGATTAATAAATATAGCGATAAGTGTAGTTCAGAAGCCGGGATTAATGAATAGCGATAAGTTTAGTTCAGAAGCCGGGTTTAATTAATAGCGATAAGTGTAGTTCAGAAGTCGGGATTTCTGAAAAGTGATGAGTGTAGTTCAGAAGTCGGGTTTAATGAATAGCGATAAGTGTAGATCAGAAGCCGGGATTAATTAATAGCGATAAGTGTAGTTCAGAAGCCGGGATTAATGAAAAGCGATAAGTATAGTTCAGAAATCGGGATTTCTGAAAAGTGATAAGTGTAGTTCAGAAGTCGAGAATAATGAATAGCGATAAGTGTAGTTCAGAAGTCGAGAATAATGAATAGCGATTCAAGTGATCCTCCAATGAGAGTGTAGCATGTTCCTCAACGGAGCCCTTTCTGATCATGTATGATTTAAATAGCAATGTTTTTGTTTCTTAAAAAAACTGTTTACTTTCATTTGTGGTTTATGCGCAAAAGTGACTTACACGCATGCATGCGTATTTTTTGCTTAAAAACAATAAAGAAATTTGCAAAATTAACACTTTTCAATCCTGATCAGACTAAAGGGTACCATTGTGAATCAGACATGCTCCTCTTTTTATAAAAAACATTACAACGACAGTCGCTTCAATAAGTTTCGGAGAAAAGATAAAAATGTTGAAGAGATCTAAAAGTAGAAATCTACCTTTCTCTTAATATAGACAAGAGCTGCAATGAGTAGAACTAAGATACAGGAGAGTAGAGTTGCTCCAGCAGCAAGGAAACCTCTCTCCAACCCACCATCTTCTTCAGGAACCACTTTTAACATTTGGAAATCATTTAACAATTCAATATCTGGTTTTAATCTTATAGAATCAAAAAAAAAATCTGTCAGATGTAATATTTGTTCAACATCACTGGAATCTATTTCTGGCTAATGTGTCTGAAGAAGTAATCCTATATCTTTATCTACATTGATAAACATGTTTGCTATTTGACATATAAATATCCACTGCAGAATGTACACTGTATCTATACCTACCTGGAGAATATATCCTATATCTATATCCACCCTGGAGAATATATCTTGTATCTATATCTACCTGGAGAATATATCTTGTATCTATATCTACCTGGAGAATATATCCTGTATCTATATCCACCCTAGAGAATATATCTTGTATCTATATCTACCTGGAGAATATGTCCTGTATATATATCTACCTGGAGAATATATCCTGTATCTATATCTACCTGGAGAATATATCTTGTATCTATATCTACCTGGAGAATGTATCCTGTATCTATATCTACCCTGGAGAATATATCTTGTATCTATATCTACCTGGAGAATATATCCTGTATCTATATCTACCTGGAGAATATATCCTGTATCTATATCTACCCTGGAGAATATATCTTGTATCTATATCTACCTGGAGAATATATCCTGTATCTAAATCTACCTGGAGAATATATCTTTTATCTATATCTACCTGGAGAATATATCCTGTATCTATATCTACCTGGAGAATATATCTTTTATCCATACCTAATATGGAGCATGTATCCTGTATCTAAATCTACCCTGGAGAATATATCTTGTATCTATATCTACCTGGGGAATGTATCTTGTATCTATATCTATCCTGGAGAATGTATCTTGTTCTATACCTACCCTGGAGCATTATCCTGTATCTATATCAACCCTGGAGAATATATTCTGTATCTATATCTACCCTGGAGCATGTATACTGTATCTATATCAACCCTGGAGACTATATCCTGTATCAATATCTAACCCGGAGATATATACCTGGAGAATGAATACCAGGCCTCCTGAGCGTAATCCCCTCCGCAACCAAATAAGGTTCGCTTGAACCTTGCTTGTTGTGTGAAAATATCTGAAAATACGAATGAAAAACAAAAGTTTTTACGAAAATAGTTACAAGATCAAACCTGAATAGCAACTTTATAGGTTGTGTAGAACTCTGATATCTTGAAGGTTGGCTCCGTCCTGGTTAGGTTTGCCAGGACTATGCTTGTTCCACTCTGCAGAATCTAAACAAAAATATATATCATCAAAAGATAAAAGTATAAATAGGAAACCATATCCAGCTAATCTTCCAATATTTATAAAAAAGATCTTTGATGACATTTCGTTGATCAGATTAGTGAAAAATAAAGAGATATTTTTAAATCTAAACCTGGAGTGTGAATCGTTGAACAAGTCCTCCATTGAACCCTGGTTGACAGATGATATGAAGAACTGAGGTTTTGTTATCCATTGTACAGTTCTGCAGAGCGTGTGGTCTTCCTGTATACACATCCGTAGAGTAAATAAACTGATTAATCACCACAAACTAAATATTCTAATCCCTTTCTATTCGTTACCTGATGTCTTAAACCTTTTATAAATTTTACTATTTTATCTAGCAGAATTCGGGGTTTGAAATATTAAAGGTCTACGTCATAAGGTTGCAAAGATAAATGGATAGACAATTAGAGTTTGTGGCAAGTGTTCAGTTTCTTTCAAGGAATTAAACAGAAAGGGAGAACACACAATATAAACCTAACCTGCAGGTTCAAGGGAGAACACACAATATAAACCTAACCTGCAGGTTCAAGGAAGAACACACAATATAAACCTAACCTGTAGGTTCAAGGTAGAACACACAATATAAACCTATTCTGCAGGTTCAAGGGAGAACACACAATATAAACCTAACCTGCAGGTTCAAGGGAGAACACACAATATAAACCTAACCTGCAGGTTCAAGGTAGAACACACAATATAAACCTAATCTGCAGGTTCAAGGTAGAACACACAATATAAACCTAACCTGTAGGTTCAAGGGAGAACACACAATATAAACCTAACCTGCAGGTTCAAGGTAGAACACACAATATAAACCTAACCTGTAGGTTCAAGGTAGAACACACAATATAAACCTAACCTGCAAGTTCAAGGTAGAACACACAATATAAACATAACCTACAGGTTCAAGGGAGAACACACAATATAAACATAACCTGTAGGTTCAAGGGAGAACACACAATATAAACCTAACCTGCAGGTTCAAGGGAGAACACACAATATAAACCTAGCCTGCAGGTTCAAGGGAGAACACACAATATAAACCTAACCTGCAGGTTCAAGGGATAACACACAATATAAACCTAACCTGCAGGTTCAAGGGAGAACACACAATATAAACCTAGCCTGCAGGTTCAAGGGAGAACACACAATATAAACCTAGCCTGCAGGTTCAAGGGAGAACACACAATATAAACCTAACCTGCAGGTTCAAGGGAGAACACACAAGGATCTTTCTGGGTTCCGATATCATTGATCCCATAGCACAGAACTGAACCGTACTCATTCTCCCTGTAGAAATATTATCAATTATTTTTCATAAATATTTCTTAAACTTTAAGTTCGACTTACCTGGCAGTTTTGAAAGATAGTCTGCTCATCCCTTTACTGAAAGTGTAATGTTCAGAGGATATCCTTTGCTGGTAACCCTGAAATATTTATGTTCAAACAATCTAAAAACTAGAATGTGCTGGGTGTAACCCTGAAATATTTATGTTCAAACAATCTAAAAACTAGAATGTGCTGGGTGTAACCCTGAAATATTTATGTTCAAACAATCAAAAAACTAGAATGTGCTGGGTGTAACCCTGAAATATTTATGTTCAAACAATCAAAACTAGAATGTGCTGGGTGTAACGCTTAGCCGCAACGACTGAGCAATATATCCACAATGTAAACTTTTATATTAAAGAATTTCAGTTTAATTCCGAAGAAATCCACCAAAAACAATTAAGAAATAATTTTAAAAAGAGGTTGTTATGTCCGACGACTATGTTTAGTTAAATCGCCAGGGGGAGGGGAAACGAGTTAGCGCGGTGGTATAAACAGATTTAAAATACAAAAGTTTTGGCCTCCTGAAAATTTACTTACTCCTTTAGAAGCAATCCAGATAACGTCTGTGATATCAGGATTACTGTCCAGCTCACAATCTAATAACAATATCGACTCATTAGTTAAGAAACAAATGAAATATTTTGATGTCCCATTGGACCATGGATGGAAAGTTCCGGTTTTACAAGAACTTTTAAATACAAGAACGAATAATTTATATGTTGAAGGATTCGATGATAACATAATATCTGAAATGATAAATATGTTATGTATAATGAGTAATGATCAATGTCGTCTATTTGTGCATAATTTTGCATTTTTCTCTTTTCTTTTGGAAACCTGTATTTTCAAAAATTTATTTAAACAAATTTAAACTACACCATTTATGTATGTATCTGTGTGTGTGAATAAATCTTTATAATAATAATATTAAAGGGATTACAAACACATCAAATTACATGAAATTTCATAATACAGTTATCATCACAATCATGTGGATTAACAAAATAGTAAAATAAATTTGAAATAAATCGAAAGATTGCAAGCTATCACACAAAAATCTATCAGTATTGTGCAAATTACGTCTTAGAATTTAACGTTAAAAAACAATGCTTTATAGTTCATCGATGTACATGTTTATGGCTACAAAATAATTTAAATGAATTAACTTAACAAAACCAAAGGCCAAGTGCAACACTTTAAAGTTTATTCAATCATTAAAATTGATGAACTTTTTATAGTAGCTTGTAGTAGACTTTGTTACATATTTTTATAGTAGTTTGTAGTAGACTTTGTTACATATTTTTATAGTAGCTTGTAGTAGACTTTGTTACATATTTTTATAGTAGTTTGTAGTAGACTTTGTTACATATTTTAATAGTAGCTTGTAGTAGACTTTGTTACATATTTTTTCTTCAAAATTTCGCTTTATTATTATATTGTTTATATAACTTATCTAAAAATTCTTAAAATATTCAAATTATAATTTATTTTAAATTAAAACATTGTATTTTTATGAAGAATATCCGCAACAAAAATAGATAAAATATGAAGCAAATAATGAAAAGTTCTCTTGAGCTTTATTATAAGCTAATATTTCGACTTTGAAGTTAAAAATATTGGCTGCGATATTAAAAATTTGCAACATTTAATATTTTAGGGGGGAGGGGTAAAATTTATATAATCTGAATTCATCTATTCATAGATTGTAATGTTACATATAATAATTGGATTATCTGAATCCATCTATATATAGATTGTAATGTTACCTATAATAGTTGGATTATCTGAATCCATCTATATTCAGATTGTAATGTTACCTATAATAGTTGTATTATCTGAATCCATCTATATTCAGATTGTAATGTTACCTATGTTAGTTGTATTATCTGAATCCATCTATATATTGATTGTAATGTTACCTATAATAGTTGGATTATCTGAATCCATGGCAATCTTTGGCTCGGTTTGATGACGACACATCGGACGATCTAATCAAATGAAAATTCAATATAATTAAAAAATCAAAGCAGTCAAAAACATTAATGGTCACTTTGCTTATTTTTGGTTTTAATTGCCACCATTAAAAGTTTAAGCCGGTGTAACGACAGGGTCTAAATTGGTTACCATACAAGATCTGATCAGGATTTCACATTTTCCAATTTAAATTTCAAGAAAATCAAAAGTATTTTAATGATTATAGGACGCGAAGCGCTCTAAAATCAATATTAGGAACTGAGAACTGTCCTCAAATTTGAATTGGTTAACCCATATTCATCATTGCAACCTTTTCAAATGTTTCAAATTTTGAAAATTTGATCTGACAGAATTAGTAGTGTGAAATATCAAATGTCTATGATATAAACATTTTAAAATGAGAGATAGAGGTAAGTGATCATTTCCTTTTTATTATATTTTTTTGAACATACATTTAATTCTAATGTTGACGATATTACTGGTTGAGTTTCCTTGCTTGTTCTCTGCTCTACACGTGTATCCTCCCTTCCCGCTTTCATCTATTCCCTGCACATACGAATACAATCAAACACACTTACAAGAAATCTGATTGAATTATTTAAATGACCAAATAAAGATAGATCTATCAAAAACTTTTGTTATTACAAGGATGCGCGGTTCACTTAGTCCTTAAATTGACTGTAATTCCATTCGTCCTTTTGGTCGGCATTCCAACCATTTGTAAATCCATCCAATCAGAAGAGTGAATCCCCGGCCGGTACATAAAGTTAGTCAGTCGGTTTTATAAATTGACCAAGCCAAATAGGTTATCAAGTACAATAGATGGCAACGTAGAATTTCTACACTCTCAGTACACCTGTATTCTGACGTCACAAGTGTCCATTCAGTTTTTGTGTCCGACAAAATTGTTAATAATAGTGAAAGTTTTAAAATTCGGTGACGGTGATATGGACCAAACCTCTGTAGAATAAAAAAGTAGATGTTGGGTTGACCCTCGTCAGTTCTAAAGATATAATAACCATCAAAATCGATAAAAAAATTTCAAAAAAATGTTGTAAAAAATTACAAGAAAATAAACAAACAAAAAAGATTATTCAAAATAAATATTTGGGCTGTCAAATGGACATAAGGGAAACGAACTCAGATTATGAGATGGAAAAAAGATAATTTGCAAATATTCACTTTTAAAAAGATGTTTTAAGACAATTATTATTCCTTTAGATTGTTTCTGTCACAAAGATTAAAAACAAACTGTTTAGATGTATGTGTACAGAGTAGTGGTGGGGGTCGATCTATATAACGATAGTGATAGTTTTAGAATAAAGTGCTTATTTTACAGTAAAATAAGTGCAATTAAATGTATTCTTTATTTTCTGTTTTTACACTTTTTTATTTAATCTTGAAAAACATGTCAACTAATGTGAGAAAATTTCGTTTTTCGTTATTACTACGTCGTGTATAATTGGTTCATTTCTCTGTTGCCACCTATTGTACTTGATAATCTATTTGGCTTATATGAAAGTAGTTATAACATGTATTTACTATTCATTAAGAAAAACACATTCCTTTTAACTGTGTAACCTCGNTTTGGTGCATCTCTGGGGTTAGATGAAGATTCACCGTATACTACCTCATGTTTGTTTACATTAGATCTGCGCAACTGTTGTTTATAAAGGGGTTGGGGTCAGGATAACCTTCAATTTGATTGAAAATGTTTCTGTAATGAGGTCCTTTAAGTATAAAACTAAAATCCTTTACTTTTTCAATCATTTTTAACAAGATAATACTACTTTCACAGTTTACTAACTCATGTTTGTTTACATTATAATTCGTTTATAGTGGGCCAACCAATTAAAACAACCTACTCTGGTTAGGCGGGTCCAAACTACATAGTAAATTGTGATTTTTTTATTTGTATTATCTCGTGCTTTGTAGTTGAATAAAATATGAATGAATTAGATCAGCTGCCTTTATTATTGTTGTTACGCAAAAACTAGTTAGTTCTCCAGCAGCCCAAAAACGTCACAGCAAAGTGTACGGAAACCCTTTTCGGGCCAAATGGTATACAATATTGTAAGTCTAAACAATAAGTTGAAAAATGAACTAGGATAAAATACTTAGCTGTAAAGCATAATTTGTAGAAAACTACAAATCTATATAATAAAACAAGACATTCGTATATATGTTGCGTATAGCCGGTCAAACGGCCAGACCGATTGGGTTAAATTTTTTGTGAACACTCATAGATGCCCGCGGGGGTGTTATAGGCTAAAGAAATTCGAAATCTTTTTAAAAAATTTTTTTCTTCATTTTTTCCACGGGCAACAATAACAGAGTTACAATTGTTTCAGAAACGATATGAGTAAAACAGTAATATAAAGATTACATTGATATATAATAACCCGACCTAATATTACATTTTTCGTGGATTCTTACAAAGTAACTGAGTTTTTGTCACAAACTCTACTTTTCTAATCTCTACATCTTAGCTACCCGATGTCGTGTACCTTTGATATTACCAACTATGAATTCTGTTAGAGATAATCTTAGTTTGAAATATCAAAGGTTTACATCATCAGATTGTAAAGATGATTAGACAATTTGAGTTTGTGACAAAAACTCAGTTCCTTTTATTAATTTCTTTAGTTGTTTTTGATATGAAATTTTCATCTGCCTGTGTATTATGCAAATCAATATAAATCCTTGTGTCGGTATGGGCTGTACGATATACAGGGTGTCCCAATAAACACGAGAATTGAGAGAAGACTTGAATATTGTCTTTGATTTCCGATAATTGATAAATTACATAAAGTGCATCAAAAAGGGATTGAAAGTCTAATAAGCTTTCCAGAATAAGGTCTACCTTCTCTGTATCTTAAAAATTGACGGAGATATCAAACATATGAACAGGTTTTTTTTGAGTTTTAACAAATTGGAATCTGGACAAATTTCCAAATATCTCCGTAAATTTTGAAGATAAAAATATGGTAGGCCACATTTTGGAAATCCTAAGACTAGTTTTCGGTGTTAAATGTTTTAACTGTGATACTTCAAATTTATGCTTACAAAATGGAACAAAGACGATATAGATACATGCATAATATAGTTTAACTGATTTTAACACCAAACTTCTATTTATCTGATGTCCATTAAAAAACTCATATCTTCTGATCCCAATATCTTTGCAACCTGATGGTGCAAACCTTTGATAGTTCAAACTTAGATTATTGTATCTGTAATTATTAATAGTTTGAAATATCTAAGGTCTACGACATTTGGATTACAAAGATATAGAGATTAGAAAATCAGAGTTTGTGGCAAAAACTCAACTCCTTTAACAGCTTTTTAAACTTGTATTTAAATAATTGTAAGAAACCCACAATCAACCCAAGAAAAGATAGTGCTATACAGCTAGTACACACTGCACATATAATGTATATATATATATATATATATGTACCTGAAAGTACATATAATGTACATATATGTACCTGAATAACCAAGGATTGGTTGGAAAGCAGGATTCCTGCAGTGCTATTGTGGAACAGTTGGGTTTCCTAAATACAAACTTTAAATTTTTTTCAGATTATTTTGATTCTAAAAAGCCTAAAGCTTTACAAAACATATCTAGGAATTAAGGTTTCCAAAAATACAGGATTGTATCCGAACAAAGAATTTTATCTTTAAAAAAGACTGTTTAAAGAACTCTAGCTGTATCCTGTTTAAAAGATTGTATCCTACATAAGGGATAGTATCCTATATAAAGTATTATATACTGCATAAAGGAATGTATCTTATATGGAGGATTGTATCTTGTATAAAGGATTCTATCCTATTCCTGTATAAAAGATTTATCATGTACAGGATGTATCCTGTATAAAGGATTGTAACCTGCATAAAGGATTTATCCTATATAAAGGATTCTATCCTGTAAAAAGGATTTATCCTAAATAAAGGATTGTATCCTTTATAACGGTATCATGTATTAAATACTTTATCATGTATAAAGAATTGTATCCTGTTAAAAATATTAATATCTTTATAAAGGATTGTATAAAATAGCTTTTCTCCTGTATAAAGGATTGTATCCTGTAAAAAAGATTGTATCCTGTATAAAGTATTGCATTCTGTATAAAGGATTGTATCCTGTATAAAGTATTGTATCCTATATAAAGGATTGTATCCTGTATAAAGGAATGTATCCTGTATGAAGGATTTATCCTGTATAAAGGATTTAACCTAAATAAAGGTTTGTATCCTGTATAAAGGATTATATCCCGTATAAAGGATTGTATCCCGTATAAAGGATTCTATCCCGTATAAAGTATTGTATCCTGTATAAAGGATTGTATTCTGTATAAAGGATTTAATCTGTATGAAGGATTGTATCTTGTATAAACGATTTAACCTGTAAAAAGGATTGTATCCTGTATAAAGGATTTAACCTGTATAAAGGATTGTATCTTGTATAAAGGATTGTATCCTGTATAAAGGATTTATCCTGATAAAGGATTTAACCTGTATAAAGGATTGTATCCTGTATAAAGGATTGTATCCTGCCTAAGATTGTACCCTACCTCATGGTACCACTCTAGTCTATTTACTGGAGGGTTGGATATTATAGAACATTCAAGATACACATCATCTCCTTCCTAGAACAAAAACTTTAGTGGACAAGACGAGAATAGTAAAGATGAGAGTATAGAATATGGGAGTTTAGAGGATGTGAGTAAAGAGGATGAGAGTATAGAAAATGGTAGTATAGATCGGATGGGTGTATAGAGGGTAGGAGTGATGAGAATGAAAATGGTGATAGTTAAATGAAGGATACATGAGAATGAAGGATAGAAGGATGGACGAAAATGAAGGAATGAAGAACTGATGAGAATGAAAATGGTGATAGTTAAATGAAGGATAAATGAGAATGAAGGATAGAAGGATGGACGAAAATGAAGGAATGAAGGATGGATGAGAATGAAGGAATGAAGGATGGATGAGAATGAAGACGAGAACGTAAACACGGTTTACCTTTATCTCACTGGGATCCAAGGTTCTCCCAAGGGAGAGACTCAATCTCGGTTTATCTGAAATAATGAGAGGAACCTATATATTCATCTGACCTGGAGATTTATCTTACAATCCTTCCTCTTCATACTCAGCATGATAGCACAGTAGCAGGAACTGAGTTCTTGCTACAAACTCTATAATTCTAATCCTTTTCTCTCTGCGACCAAATAGTCTAAACCTTTCAAATTTAAACTATTAGAACAGAATTTATAATTTGATGTCATAGGTTACATTGCAAGAGTTGCAAAGATAAACGGATTAGAAAATCAGAGTTTGCAATCTCAGTTTCTTTTAAATCTCAAAGATAAGAAAATTTTAAATACCATTCTACCCAAAAGCAGTATCGGAAAGCCCATCAAATAACAAAATGAACTTGAAATGTATATTTGAATACTTATACATATTCCCCTAAATTCTGAATCACAATGCTAATTATCTAAGATTAGATTATTTGTAAATTATAAATAGATACTTACACATTACAGATATATTCCATTGATCCTCGAGCGCAGTGCCGGGCATATTTTCATTGTATCCTCGACACGTGATTCCTTCGCGGTTATCCCCTTTTCCTAGATTTAATTTTTATTTCATATTTTTATTCAACTACAAAGCATGAGATAATTAAAATACAAAATCACAATTTACTATGTAGTTTGGACCCGCCTAACCGGAGTAGGTTGTTTTAATTGGTTGGCTCATTATAGGGAATGAGTGTACAGTGTACATTCTAAACATAATAATGATGATAAATCAGGAAAAAGGGCCAGGAGGTGGTGAGGAGGTATAAGGGAAAGGGAGGGTACTAAGCAGAAGGGTTGGAACAGAGGTTAACATATGATATTAAAATCATGTTTATGAACTACAGGGTGAAGAAGATAGATGTTTATCCAAATAATACAAAGTTTTTTTTTTTACAGATAAAACTTTCATAACTATATAAATAGATCTTGGCCACTTTTCTTTTTAATGATTTTGCAGATTTAGTTTCTTTCAGCTCTAATTCAATCGAATTCCATATTTTTGGAAATAAAGCAGAGGGAAAACATTCTAGAGTTTTAAAGAGAACCCGCTCAAGTTTAAATTATTTTGTTCTATTTGGTTCAGCTAAAGAATTAAACATATCCTGGAAGGAAGCTGGAAGGTTTTCATAAAAGTATTTATGCATAAAAGAATAGATATATCCCATTTTCCTAGATTAATAGATACACATCCTTCTCCTAGATTACAAGATATATACCCTTTTCCTAGATTAATGGATATACATCCTTCTCCTAGATTACAAGATATACACCCTTTTTCTAGATTAATAGATATACATGATCCTTCTCCTAGATTACAAGATAAATACCCTTTTCCTAGATTAATGGATATACATCCTTCTCCAAGATTACAAAATATATACCCTTTTCCTAGATTAATAGATACATCCTTCTCCTAGATTACAAGATATATACCCTTTTCCTAGATTAATAGATGTACATCCTTCTCCTAGATTAATAGATATATACCCTTCTCCTAGATTACAAGATATATACCCTTCTCCTAGATTACAAGATATATCTTTTCCTAGATTAATAGATATATACCCTTTTCCTAGATTAATAGATATACATCCTTCTCCTAGATTACAAGATATACATCCTTCTCCTAGATTACTAGATATACATCCTTCTCCTAGATTACAAGATATACATCCTTCTCCTAGATTACTAGATATATACTCTTTTCCTAGATTACTAGATATATACTCTTTTCCTAGATTAATAGATATACATCCTTCTCCTAGATTACAAGATATATACCCATTTTTTAGATTAATTGATATATACCCTTCTCCTAGATTACAAGATATATACCCTTCTCCTAGATTACAAGATATATATCCTTCTCCTAGATTACAAGATATACATCCTTCTCCTAGATTAATAGATATGAATCCTTCTCCTAGATTACTAGATATATACCCTTTTTCTAGATTAATAGATATAATCCTTCTCCTAGATTAGATATACATCCTTCTCCTAGATTACAAGATATACATCCTTCTCCTAGATTACAAGATATATACCCTTTTCCTAGATTAATAGATATATAACCTTCTCCTAGATTACAAGATATATACCCTTCTCCTAGATTACAAGATATACTTCCTTCTCCTAGATTACAAGATATATACCCTTCTCCTAGATTAAAAGATATAAACCCTTCTCCTAGATTACAAGATATATATCCTTCTCCTAGATTACAAGATATACATCCTTCTCCAAGATTACAAGATATACATCCTTCTCCTAGATTACAAGATATATACCCTTCTCCTAGATTACAAGATATATATCCTTCTCCTAGATTACAAGATATATATCCTTCTCCTAGATTACAAGATATATATCCTTCTCCTAGATTACAAGATATACATCCTTTTCCTAGATTAATAAATATACATCCTTCTCCTAGATTACAAGATATACATCCTTCTCCTAGATTACAAGATATACATCCTTCTCCTAGATTACAAGATATATATCCTTCTCCTAGATTACAAGATATACATCCTTCTCCTAGATTACAAGATATACATCCTTCGCCTAGATTACAAGATATATACCCTTTGTTTTATATTAATCTATACCTGGAGTAAAGGTGAGAATACTTGTCGTGATAGAACCAATAGGATTATTCTGAAAAAAAATAAAGATATATTAAGTAATCATGATTTAGGCTTGATTAATAATCTCCTGAACTAGTATTAAACCTACCTGAACATGAATATCCTAAACTAGTATTAAACCTACCTGAACATGAATATCCTGAACTAGTATTAAACCTACCTGAACATGAATATCCTGAACTAGTATTAAACCTACCTGAACATGAATATCCTGAACTAGTATTAAACCTACCTGAACATGAATATCCTAAACTAGTATTAAACCTACCTGAACATGAATATCCTGAACTAGTATTAAACCTACCTGAACATGAATATCCTGAACTAGTATTAAACCTATCTGAACATATATCTCCTGAACAAATATTAAACCTACCTGAACATATATCTCCTGAAAAATTATTTAACCTATCTGAACATGAATCTCCTGAACAAGTATTAAACCTACCTGAACATGAATCTCCTGAACAAATATTAAATCTACCTGAACATATATCTCCTGAACAATTATTTAATCTATCTGAACATGAATCTCCCGAACAAGTATTAAACCTACCTGAACATGAATCTCCTGAACAAGTATTAAACCTACCTGAACATGAATCTCCTGAACAAGTATTAAACCTACCTGAACATAAATCTCCTGGACAAAGATTAAACCTATCTGAACATGAATCTCCTAAACAAGTATTAAACCTATCTAAACATGAATCTCCTGAACACAGATTAAACAGCTACCTGAACATAAATCTCCGAAACAAGTATTCAACCTACCTGAACATGAATCTCCTGAACAAAGATTAAACCTACCTAAACAGAATCTTCTGAACTAGTATTAAACCTACTTGAACATGAATCTCCTAAACTTGTATTAAACCTACTTTAAAAAGAATCTCCTGAACAAGTGTTAAAACTACCTGACCTCCTGAACCTAGATTAAACCTATCTGAACATGAATCTCTTAAACAAGTATTAAACCTATCTGAACATAAATCTCTTGAACCTAAAAAACCAACCTGAACTGAATCTCCTGAACCTAGATTAAAATTATATGAACATGAATCTCCTGAACAAGTATCGAACCTACCTGAACAGAATCTTCTGAACCTAGATTAAACCTACCTGAACATAAATCTCATGAACAAAGATTAAACCTACCTGAACATGAATCTCCTGAACAAAGATTAAACCTACCTGAACATGAATCTCCTGAAAAAGTATTAAATCTACCTGAACAGAATCTTCTGAACAAGTAGTAAACCTACCTGAACAGAATCTTCTGAACAAGTATTAAACCTACCTGAACATGAACCTCCTGAACAGGTTTATCTCCAATAAACCATCGTATTCTAGCTGGTGGTTCACTACCCCTCGCCTGAACGTATCCAAGGATAATGTATCGTATTTTATTATAAAGAAAGAGGCGATAAATTGTATCTAGACAATAATAATAGCTGCAGAAGATCCCTAGACCATATTTTCTATATTATTATCTTTCTATCAACATGTTTTACCACCTTTATATATTTAATATCTTTTTCCTTCATCGCTTACCTGTCTAGATAGCTTACTGGTTATCTCAACGAGGTTATAGTATATAGAACTAATTGTACCAATAATTGTAAAAGCCACATATTCCACTTACTTACTGTGAAAGCATACTGCATATTTGATTTTCATACTGTATGATTAGACTATAATCTCCTTACATCCTTTATATGTAAAACATCTTAATTGTACACTCAAGCTGAATAGCAGGACAGGTAGTTGACTTCCAACCCCCTGGCCTATCTCGATTTTTAGTATTATATCTATTATTATCTATCTTACTGTTGCTATCTTTCTCTTCTTCTAGCTATACATCTAACTAACTGAAAAGTTACAATTTTATTCTTCTGGTAATTACATCTATCCAAATAGATTATCAAGTACAATAGGTGGCAACAGAGAAATGGACATATTATACACGACGTCACAAGTGTCAAATATAACAAGGAAAACAAAATTTTCTCACATTAATTTACATGTTTTCCAAGATCAAATAAAAAAGTTTAAAACAGAAAATAAAGAACACATAAAATTTGCACTTATTTTACTATAATATTAGCACTTTATTCTAAAATTATCACCATTATTAATTATTTTGTCGGACACAAAAACTAAATTGACACTTGTGACGTCAGAATACAGCTGTACTCAGAGTGTACAAATGCTACGTTGCCATCTATTGTACTAGAATCTATTTGCATCTATTTAGCTTAAAATCTTTAAACCTAGTCTTCTAGCTATTTATCTAGCTAGCTTAAAAGTTATAAACCCAGTCTTCTAGCTATACAACTATCTATCACCCTAGTCTTTTAAAACTATTTATCTAGCTAGCTTAAAAGTTATAAACCCAGTCTTTTATTTATGCATAATTATCATGTCTGTTTCTATCCAATAAAAGTCCAAACAGCTAAACCGATAGGTCCTGTGACCCCAGGGTTGGTTTATGGTTGGTAAAGATGTTGGAGACTTTTATGAATAGCTGTCATCTTAGTTATCTGAGCAGTCTTTCAGGGTTATAGATATCTTTAAATCTTTCTATTTGATTCATGATTAACAAGAGATATTTCTTTCTGTTATTACCTCACAGATGATTTGAACAGGTTTTCCCTCAACCAGGAATTCAGCTTTATGCAAGATTTTTACTGTCTCCGGTCGTACTAAACATTTGCTCGTACTAGACAGTTACATTTGGTCGTACTAAACAGTAATATTTGGTCGGACTAAACACTAACATTTAGTCGGACTAAACAGTAATATTTGGTCGGACTAAACAGTAATATTTGGTCGTACTAAAAAGTAGCATTTGGTCGTACTAAACAGTAACATTTGGTCGAACTAGACAATTACATTTGGTCTTACTGAACAGTATTATTTGGTAGTTCGAAACAGTAATATTTGGTCGTACTAAACAGTAACATTTGGTCAAACTTAACAATAGCATTTTGTCGGACTAAACAGTAATATTTGGTCGGACTTAACAGTAGCAATTGGTCGGACTAAACAGTAACATTTGGTCGAACTTAACAGTAGCATTTGGTCGGATTAAACAGTAATATTTGGTTTGAGTAAACAGTAATATTTTGTGGCATTAAACAGTAACATTTGGTCGTACTAAACAGTAGCATTCGGTCGTACTAAACAGTAGCATTTGGTCGTACTGAACAGTAGCATTTGGTCGGACTAAACAGTATCATTTGGTCGGACTAAACAGTAATATTTGGTTGTACTAAACAGTAAAAAAAAGACATTTAATGTAAGGAGGTCGCAAAACGATGGAAACATTGATTATGAATTAATTCTTTTTCTCCATCAAATTTTCTTGTTACTTTTTTACTCTAACTTTAGCTGGCTAGCTTCAAAATAGAATGTTCTGGTTTGAGCATCACTAACTCTTTATCCCATTTTTAATTATCATATCAATATACGAATAGTAAACATATCTCACTATAATCCCCATAGAAGGGGGTTAGTCATTCGGTGTACAGTCCCGTTTTGTCTTATATAGTCTGTATGTGTACTGTACAGCATAAAAGTCGTCCCGGTACTTGAAAAGAGGAGTTTGCATGTGATCTATATCAAAACTATGTTAGAATTTTAAATAAATTTAGAATTAGATTTTGAATAAACTTACAGTTCATTCTGATTGTAACTGTTCTTGTTTTTGGTTCGTTGATTTCATTATTCTTTGCTACACAGCTGATCTTCTTATTGTTCATTTCTCGACCCAACCTGGACATATAAAGGATAATTTTCAAAAGTACATTAAAGGGACTGTAGGCGTAATTTTAAGTGATTTTTAGAATGTTCCTTTAAACCTTTGTCTGATTAATAATGAAGGAGATATGTTTCTTTTTCTCTTTGAAAATTGATTATTTTCAATTGTAATTTCTCATTAGGAGTGACTTGCAGATGTTTGCTACTATACAATGGAGAAAATTGAGAGAATTCAACAAGTTTTAAGACAGAAAATTGGGGGTCACTTGAAATTGCAGCTGCGGTTCCTTTAAAAACTCTTTTTTTGTACCAACCATGATATATGCTTTTTTTGATTTTTGAGTTTTCTCTCTGGGTCAAATAAGATATATGTTTCGAACTTGTAGTTTTCAGGATTAAAAACAATTTCAATATGTTAGAATCTTTCCCACTTTCTAATCCCAATATCTTTGCAACCCAATGCCGTAGACCTATTTCGTACTATTAATTCTATTATATCAAATTAATCTCAGTTTGAAGTTTTCACCATCAGGTTGCAAAGACAAAAGGGATTAGAAAATTTGAGTTTGCGGCAAAGACTCAGATTCTTTAGTTTAGCTCGTATTAACGTTTTTGAGCTATACAAACGAACTAGACAATATAGTTGGAGGATGGTTTCTTTTTACCTGGTGTATCTCAACCTGTTGGTAACTATATCCCGTCCAGGAACTCTGTTAAAGGACTCATCAACAATATCATCTCCGATATACCAGAATACAGAGGGAGCTGGTCTACCTAGATATACAGGATAATCTCCGATATACCAGATTACAGAGGGGGCTGGTCTACCTAGATATACAGGATAATCTCCGATATACCAGAATACAGAGGGGGCTGGTCTACCTATATATACAGGATAATCTCCGATATACCAGAATATATATACAGGATAATCTCCGATATACCAGAATACAGAGGGGGCTGGTCTACCTAGATATACAGGATAATCACGATATACCAGAATACAGGGGTGACTGGTATATCTAGATATACATGATAAACTTTACTATTTTCTGATATACCAGAATACAGAGGGATATGTTCTATATTAAAAAACTAAGAAATTGAGTCTTTGCCACAAACTCTGATTTTTTAATCCCAATATCTTAGCAACCCAATGTCGTAGACCTTAGATATATCACACTATTAACTCTGTAAGATCAAATAATCCAAGTTTGGAATATCAAAGGGTTTCACCATCCGGTTTTAAAGATATGAGATGAGAACATTTGAGTTTGTGACAGAGACTCAAGTTCTGATATATCCCAGTTTTCTTTAATTAATCATTTTCCAATTGAAAGAATTGAGATCATGTCAATGCTGTTGTTAGCTCCGATATAACGTGATGTAAGACGATTAGGATTATCTTGATCCTGGATAATAACCCGGAGTTTCCAGGGATAGAACTGTCATTGGATTTATTTATGTTGAACCGGGGAGGGTTTATTTTGAATGATAAATCAGTATAAAGCTTGGGTTGGGATTTATTCAAGATCTATAAAAGGTTTCAATCTTCTCCGACACAAACACACACACAGACAGACATCTAATAAATAACTTGATATCAATATTGTCAGCGGACATTGTTGTTATTAATTATAGAATAGGGATGTTATTACCTATATCTATATCTATAGCATGTAGCAAGTTATAGTTTTAGACTTTTCATGATTTAAATTAATATTCTAAAATTACTGTTTGTTAGTAAAAGCGATTAAAAGTTAAAAATAGATATACACAACAGTCCAATTTCTCTTTTTCTATCTTTAGACTTGAACCCAAGTTGACCGATTATTCAGGTCAAACCTTTCATACATTTTAGTATTAAAGAAATTTAACATTATATCAAGTTAACAACAAGGAAATAAATAATTGTCGATAATGAACCAATAATGTATTATGAATAACCCTGTACTTTATTTTTGTAATCGTAATTGTTATCTAACAATATAAATGATAATTGTTCTGGCATCAGTTTCATCAGAAGACCCAATCTATACAAGATGGTGACATAACCCTAGGATCGAGCCTGCTCTATCTAGGCTGCGCTGCTCCAGTCTGACTGCTCCATCCTGGTTCAATTCTTCTCTTCCCTGCTATCTTCAACTCTGTGAACTCAAATAATCTACTACAACTTATGATGTTTCTTCTGTTCTCCTGTTTTTCCATATTTCAATAAATCTTTGAATTTGCCCCAGTGCAACAAGCAAGGGTTAAAACTTGCAAAGAAGCTTCCCATAAATCAAAAATAGGTTCTTTGGAGTGAAATGGGACAAACATTCCAATAACAATTCTGTATTTTTAGTAATCAATTTTTTTTATTTTTAGCCCGCTTTTTTCCAACTTTTAAGAGGTTAAGGAAAGTTTTTAATGCATCTTGTAATATTTGAATTAACTTGTTAAATTTCCTATATCCGATTTGAGATGTAAAAATCTTGTTGTATAAAATAATTCCATCAACTAGGAATTAGAAAAAAAGATTTTGTGGCAAAGACTCAGTTCCTTTGACATAGCATAGCTAGAGCAAACTAAATTAATAGAATACGCAAGTTATTCTTGTTTTAAACTATGCCAAATTTTTAACCCTTGAGAAAATATATGCAAAGAAAGAAAGCAAAAACAAACCAAAAAGATTAGCAACACTAAATAGACTATATACTAAATAAATGCAATAGATGAAAATGCAACATTAATCATAGCAGAAGTTCTATTTATTTATTATTTGATTTAAAAAAATCCTTTTCTTGATTATTTTGTACATGTATTTTGAATATATTGGATTGCATTAACTGTATATCTTCGCAGTTTCCTTTCCTGTCCTCTTCTTACCTTATTTCAACTTTCAATGTTTTTATAAATGAAATAAAGAAGGTTTTTATCCTTGATTCAATAATAAAATCCTCCGGAGTTTAAATCTCCACGATTCTAATTATTCTGAAAGTAAATGATAAATGAAGTCGACCAAGTCTTGAAAATCAGCCTTAATCTTGTGGCTAAAATACCACTCTGTATGAACAAATTTACAGCACTAACGACAGTTTAATCTCCGATGGACGGGGTTTAGTTGATCAGTAATAAAAGTTCTACCTCCATGAACCTGGCAGAGTAATCTCAGTTCTTCTCCCTCGTTGAACGGTCCAGCGAATGCTCCACGAACATCTGTTAGTTCGTCTTCAAGTATTTGAGGAGCATGCGGCTCTTCTGCAACAACAAGATAAGTTCAGTTTTACAAGTTATAAAGCTTGAGTTAATATACATTATACAGTGAGACACATAAAACTATGGAATAAGAAGATTACATTTTATAAAGCTAATAGTTTTACCATTAGCTGAAAATTTGAAATTTTACAAAATTCAATGCACATGTTGCCGTGTTTCATGTTTATCGGGCCAATTAAAATCAGGACTTGAGTCGTTTCAATTTTCCAATGCAAAGTTTTATGCGAAACTTACCAACAATTGTAAGGTTTAGTTTCATGTTTCTTGTCGGAGAGTTTCGATAGTCCACTCTGCACCTGAATATTATGAAGACGATATTACACTCATCCTACGCGGCATTAAAAGTGTAAGATGCGCAACTCAAACTTACCAATATTGCACGTAGTGAAGTAAACCGGTTTTGAAACTTATGAATACTGCACAGTATGGTTCAGTTTTTAGAAAACCGAGCAGCGGATAAGTTATAAGATATTTGGATATTATTTTGACTGAGCGATATTTTTGACGTAGCGTCCCTCCAATCACCAAATGTCACAAACATGGTTATTACAGAAACTTTGGTGGTTTTTTGAGAGGCAATTTTATTTAACAACAAGGGAGCCGTTGATACCAACGATTTTTTATGGAGACGTTCAAGGTACAATATATTTAGAAATCATTGTTAATTATTTTACGTGTTGTAGACGTGTAAAACCTATCAGATGACAAATATGTAAATCTTTTTTTAATAATATTAATAAAATTATACCTGTAAACCCCCTGATCTACCATACTTATATTTGAGATTATAAGAGCTGCAGGTTTAGTTCCAACTCTGAAATGTTATACAAATATAATATCAGACAAATCATGTAATTGAAAATATTCGAAAATATTTCTTTAGAAATCCACCCTTCTGTATGGGTGATATTTACCTGAATGTTCCTCTTCTACCGAAACCGAATGGAGGATCTGCAGACCAATGGTTTGCAGTTTCACTAGGTCTTCCCCTTTATAAAAATATTAATAAACAAATATATATATTTTCATATTCACCCTCCCCTCTCCCTTTTAAAAACACACATTTGCTCTTTCAATTTAAATTAATTTACGAAATATCAACTCATTATTAGTTGTAGATTAACTTACCCCATGTAAAATTATAATCTTTAATTGTAAATTTATTTACCCAATGTGGAAATTATCCTCCATGATAGTAAACTAATTTACATATATGAAAATTATGATCTACAATTATAAATTGATTTACTAAATCTCAATTGAAATATTTTACCTGATATCAAAACTATAAAGAGGTTTCCCTGCTAGATCTCTATACCAGAGAACAAGGTAAACACTGTCTCCGGGATCTAAATAGAAGACAGGTCGCACTCCAGGTTCTATATAAAGTACTGATCAAACTCTAGGATCTATATAGAGTACAGATTAAACTCTAGGATCTATATAGAGTACAGATCAAACACCAGGTTCTATATAAAGTACAGATCAAACTCCAGGATCTATATAGAGTACAGATCAAACTCCAGGTTCTATATAGAGTACAGATCAATCTCCAGGATCTATATAGAGTACAGATCAAACTCCAGGATCTATATAGAGTACAGATCAAACTCCAGGATCTATATAGAGTACAGATCAAACTCTAGGATCTATATAGAATTTTTTTTAAATAGAGAAATGAGATTTAATATTACAATTTTGGTTTCCGATAGCCTAACTCCATTTTACTTAAAAGTTCCTGGTTCTGTTTCATAAAAAATATGGTTAATTATTATTAATAATATTTTTAAAAATTTACATTTTTTCTTTTGAACTTTTAAATTGTAAAAAAGATTCATTGTGTACTGTGCATTCTGTAATTCAAAATTAAAACTTTTTGTGTGTTTTTGTTTTGTTTGTTTAAACTAAACATTGCTCTACAGATTCAGATCAGAGCAACAATATAATTCACGCTGTTCTAGGTTTACCTTGTCTTTTATTCCCTCCATCAAGCTTTAAACTTTGTAATATTGTAAATTTGAAAAGAGTGGGACCCATGAACTTGGAATAGAAAGATGACATTTCGGTAAAATTAATGTGTATTTGATTTTGTTTGATTCAAATGAGCAAAAGTTATAATCATGGAACGAATGTTGAGAATGGATTCATGAATTGGATACAGGTTGGATTTGATTGTTGATCCAATCTGGATACGAATGGTAAGGATGGATATTAATGTTAAGGTATGATTCAAATGTGCAAAAGTTATAATCTTGAATACGTATGTTGAGGATGGATTCATGAATTTTATATTTGTTTGATTTGATTTTTGATCCATTCTGGATATGAATTTTAAGGTTAGATACAAATGTTAGGGTTGGATTCAAATAAGAATGTTGAGGATAGATTGTTGATCTAATCTTGATACAAATGTTAAGAACTATGGATACTTATTTGAATCCAACCTTAACATTCATATCCAGAATGGATCAAAAATCAAATCAAACAAATATCCAATTCATGAATTCATCCTTAACATTCGTATTCAAGATTATAACTTTTGCTCATTTGAATCAAACCTTATTCAGTTAAGATGACACGTAGAGTCAACTTTTTCTAGTATTTTCCAGTATTTTCCAGTGTTTTCTATTTCTACCTGGAGGAGATATATCACAGGGAAGCTCAGCATCACCTCCAATAACAGCGGAGACATCGACGACCGGAACTAAAAATATCAAGATTCTATTATTCAAGAATTAATAATACAGTTTCTGGATATTTTGTTATCCTTTCAGTTTTAAGATTGTGACATTGAATATCAGGTCAGGTCATAACATGACATACTAAAATAGGATTAGAGCTGTCAGAAATTTGCGTTTTAACTAAAATTTGATAGCATGAACAAAATCCCATGAAGTCACAAAAAATAACGTCTCATATACGCTGACATCCACTCCTGGTGTAAATCAATAGAGGAAAGTTATTATTATTGTCAATTCCTAGAAGATATGACGGCAATGTTATTCAACTAAAATTTATATTTATAATAAAACGTATGCACTGGAAGTTTTTGAATGTGTTTTGTGTTTTTGTGCAGTTGTGTCTGCAATGCGATGGTGTGCAATTGTCTAGTTTTGTATTTGGGCGTTAGGTTTTACTGGACTTAAGTCGTCACGGTTCTGTTAGCTTTGGACAGCTAACACTAATAAACTGAAGCAGAACAACTAACGGCGGCTTTTGTAGCAACAAAAACAAGGAATGGTCGATTAACCACTGACTCACTAGGTTTATTATCATCCTCATATTCTCCTGTAACTGGAAACTCTAGATCTGTAGCTGTATCCAGGATTAGGGTTTGTGGAATGATCTCTCCAGAGATAGTTTGAAGGAGCAGGAACAGGTTTAGTATTTTTATCATCTATACTTTGAGTTCAAAATATGATAAATTGATAATATTAAATGTTTTTAAAGAAACTAGGTAATTTAATTTGCATCTTGACTTGGAAGTCAATTATTTTCTACATATTAAAAGCTTTTATCAATGTTTTTTACAAAATATTGAAGCAAATGATCAATATTCCTTACAAGATATTGAAACAAATGATAAATGCTCCTCACAAGATTTTGAAACAGTTGATCAATTTTCTTCAAAAGATATTGGAACAATTGATCTACGTTCTTCTAAAGATATTGAAACAATTGATCAATGTTTCTCACAAGATATTGGAACAATTGATCTACGTTCTACTTCCACCTTTCTTTATTGTCTCTACTCTCCAAGCCTACAATGATAAATATCTGTTTAGAAATTGTAAAAATATGGAAATATACAAGTCGAGGAGCAGAAAGGAACTATTTTGAATATTATGCTAATCTTGGGTAAACTTTTCTCCCATTAGTGTGTGATAAAAGATTCCAAGTTTTGTCTCATCTTATTATTTCTCAACTTGAGATAAATTGTGAGCTGTGACATGGTTGCAACTTGAAAGAAACTTTACTACAAGATCCTAATAATTTGTTGGTTTAGGCTTCTTTACAGGATACAAGGATACTGGATATATGATACTGGATACTGGATACTGGATACAGGATACAGGATACAGGATACAGGATAATGGATACTGGATACTAGATACAGGATACAAGGATACTGGATACAGAATACTAGATACAGGATACTGGATACTGGATACTGGATACTGAATACAGGATACAGGATACAGGATACTGGATACTGGATACTAGATACAGGATACAAGGATACTGAATACAGAATACTGGATACAGGATACTGGATACTGGATACAAAATACTGGATACAGGATACAGGATACTGGATACATACTGGATACAGGATACTGGATACAGGATATACTGGATACTGGATACTGGATACTGGATACTGGATACAGGATACTGGATACAGGATTCTGGATACTGGATACAGGAGACAGAAAACTTGATACAGGATACTGAATACAGGATACAGGATATAGGGTACAAGATCCAGAATATAGGATATAGGATACAGAATACAGGGTTCAAGATACTGGATACAGCCTGATACAGGATACAGGATACTGGATACAAGAAACTGGATACAAGAAACTGGATACAAGAAACTGGATAAATGATACAGTATAGAGGATACAGAACAACTTATACAGGTTACAGGATAAATTATACAGAATAGAGGATACCTAGAACTAATGATACAGGAAACAGGATACAGTATACAGTAAAATACATACAGGAGACAGCATATAGGATACAGGATACAGGATACAGGTTACAGAATAGGATACATAATGCAAGGACAGAATAATGGATGTATCCCTCTTTCCGTTGTCAACAAATACTTCAGTATATATTAAATATCCCATATTTATGTGATGTAGGATGAAACCCAGAAATATTACAGAATTAATATCTTATTGTTCAAGTTTTTTTCTAATTTGAAATAATATTCATACGCACAGCAATTAACATCGGAGGGTTCAGTCAGCTCTATAGTGGAGCAGGGGCCTGGACAATAACTTCCGTTTAAAAGGTCAAATCATGTCAAAACAGAGTAACTAATCAGCTACTATACAAGGGGTGTAAGGGGGCAATACCCCAGACTGGACTCCTATAGGGGGCAACGTCCCCCCCCTTAGAAATGTTAGTTTCCCCTCTTAAAACTGAAGAACACCAAAATGTGTTTCCCATAGGGACTATAGACTTAATTTTCATTTATTGAGTGGAATGTCGGATTCACAACGATACCCTTAAACGCTTTGTCCGATCAAGCATCAATTAGATTTCCTTGTTTCTTTTTTGAAAACTGATTATTTTTAATTTGGGTTTCTCTGCAAAAGTGACTTGTGCATCTCTACTTTTGAAGAAGGGGAATGGAAACTAACAAAAGTAACACCTTAAAGTTGAGTTATTTGTTTAAAAATTTTTTAAAATTCAATTTGACTCTTTACGCTTCCTTGCGTAACTCCTTTTTTCTACGAAAGCAAATATAGGAATGGTGTTGTCATCGGGTTTTTTTTGTTTATTAAATAGTCTTTTTGTTCCGAACATTTTGAGCTGAAACTGTTAGAGCTCATTGAAGCTTTTTAGGTAATTTCCTAGTAAACGATTTTTGACACCCCCCCCCTCCTATCATTTTTGTACATACATGCTAGGCTTCTTATTACTGAGGGGGGGGGGAGGTTTAAAAATCTTATAATAGGAATTTACAGCTTTTTCATATCGGTCAACGGTCACGCCGTTTAGAACGGAACGGATTAAATTCTAAAAAGTTAGCCCTGTAATCACGGTTGCCTGCAGGAACGATATATCCTGACTATCATTTGTATTTTTTTTTGATTGGGACAGAGCTAGCTCGTTATAAAGAAGTTGGACTGAGAGAGCGAGAGTTGCTGTTCGAGAACAGGAGCAACTTTTATTTGGTTATCAACTCAAGTACGGTTTATTTCAAGTATATTTTGAGGATAAAATATCTATATACCAGGGGGGAGGGGGGGGGAGTATTCAATATTTTAACGGAGATTCCAGTTTAAATACTTCAAATAAATACCAGTTTTTAAACAAAATTTATCCAGTTACGTTCAATATTGGAATTTTGTGACTCTCCTTAGGTCTAGGCTGCCATTATGTGCTTAAATGATCTTCCATGAAGCCTTCTCTAGCAGGACTGAGATATACAGGTTTGGCGGCAGGACGGGTTTGGCGGAGATTTCTCCTTCGGAGAAACGGGATCAGATCCCGGGTCGGCGAGAGACGAAATCCCGTCGGAGTAAATATATCCTGCACCCTTGAACCCCAAGTTTAATGTTACATAAAATGTGTACATACACATATATATATATAATTCTTTCTTATGTTGGGATGCATTATAAACTATATATACTCAAACTTCACATATCTTAACTTATTTTTTTTTTAAATATTTAGAATTCAAAATATATTTTTTGTTTCAAATGATTTTAGAAACTTAAACTTATTTATACTTTAGGCTTTATGGAAGATCAGTTTGGTTGGTTTTCATTAAAAATGTTTTTTTTTGTAAAGTGATTAATCTCACAGACAAAGCTTTGTACAACTGAAGTATGCACCCTCCTATAATAATTGAATATTTTTAATGCGTTCTTGAAATCCGGAAAATTATTTAAATGAGGGGTGAAAATAATTGCGTAGTTGCGTAATTGTGTTTAAAAATGTTTCTTTTAAAGGAATTTTTCAGCTTTTTGAAAATACATGCATATAAAATCCTAATTTTTTATTTTTTTTTTAGAAATAAATACATGTAAAAAAGTCTAGGAACTGCAGATTATCGTCTAAATGAATTTTTAAATAAAAAGTTCATTCTTAATTATAGTATCCTTCAAAAAATTATAACCTTTTATCGACCTTTTTTAGCATTTTAGAAAAATATGTCTTACATAAAATAAATGTTAAGATTAGAAGTCTCAGTTGTGGGATAATATTTTAATTCACTTTGCGCAATTAATCGTAACATTTTAGACATTCTTTCTTTCTTGAAACGGTGTGTTCAAATTATCAAATCAAATAAGGAATGTTAAACAAACTCCAGACTGATGCCAGGGTTTTACTCCTGGCTCCGGAAATTTAGAAAATAGGTAAATTTTTTAAAATTTATATTTCAAGTAAAACAATCATAGACAATACAATGCAGTTCACATGCCATTGTTAATGGTTCTGAAATATATAATATATAAATTAGAATGTTATATATCTATCTTTAGATTGGATATTATTTCCTTGCAGCCCAGGGACGATATTAATGTTACAAACATTAGATAATTCCCCGGCATCGAGACCTCTAACCTTAGATTCATTTTTCTTACAGATTTATCACATCACAAAGGACATCATTTATTTTATAATCATTTGTTTACGAAAAAAGAATGAATAAAGCAACATTAATGGATGATGTGGTTAATGTTCAGAGGGGGACTGTAGAAGTAATTTCAATAAAACCTCCATATAATGAGTTACATCCCCGTTGGTTCCCATTAAACCGTTATCTGAATAACAATGAAGAAGATATTATCATGTTTTATGTTAAAAGAGATAAATATCAATTGCAATTCTAAATTGTGTCCGCTGCATAAATTCGCCATAGAAAATCCGCAATTTAAAATTATAAATTTTCAGATACATGAAAAAGGATATCTTCCACATTTTCGCAGAGCCAAAGAGTTGAAGGGTACCCTTGTAAATTCTGAAAATTAAAAAAGGGTATCGTTGTGAATGAAGCATCTTATGTGTTAAGTTGCAAATCGAGCATTGCCCTTTTTGCATGGTAGGCCACTTAAAATCCCGCGTACAGTCCCTTTAATTCTATATTCCCTGAAAGTTTAGAGGCAGGGGACTGAAATCTTTTGGGTTTCACACAAATTCTACGGTGGGAAGGTCTACAGTCTACATAATCACTATATACATAAAGGAATTGAGTCTTTGCCACAAACTATTTCAAACTATGAATTCTGTTAAATCAAATAATCAGAGTTTGAAATATCAAAGGTTTACAACATCGGGTTCTAAAAATATTGGGGTTTAAATATATGTTATTGTGACAAAGATTCAATTCCTTTATCTGATCAGATAGATACTGATCAGTTGTGATTTAGACGTTTTGGCGAAATAGTCAGTAATCCTTCACTTTCGAACCTATTTCCGTCCAATAAAAGAACAGTGATTGTGAATTCACTCAAATTATCTTTATAAATAAAATCTGTTGTTTGAAATGACTTCCAATTAGTAATGTATATTATTAAATACAGTCTGGCCTAATGCAATTAGATTTATAAAATACTATTCATTGTATATATTTACTCAAAGCTTACATTAAATCATTGCATAAATGTTTATTCATTTATAAAATGTGACTTGTGGCAGAGCCATGGAGAGGATTTATTATAAATATTTCAGGTTCTATTCTTATCCTTTTATACTTCCATAATATCATTCCAGGACAAATTGTCCCGTCCTTGCCTAGTCTCATCATTTTTATTTATCTCCAAACATTCTACAGGCATTACCTCACGAGATGGCAAGATATTACGCATCAAGGATCAGGAAAAGAGATTTACATAAATTCTAAAATTAGTAAACTTCTAAAATAAATTCAGAAACATTCGAATTAACAAAAAATTTCATTTAGTAAATGTCCTATTTTTAAATGTTCTAGCAAATATGTGCATTTATGAGAAGTTCAAGTTCTTAAATGCATAATTTGATCGACTATCAAAAAGATACAAAAATCATGTGATATTAAAAAAGGTTTCAAATAAACATACAAAGTGTTTTCAAACATTCTTAAAATATAAATGCATGAGTTACATAAATACAAGGATTCAGTAGATAGTTCCTGCTTCTACACCTATCTTGTTTAAACTCCTTGTATGAGAAGGAATCTAGGCCAGGTTTAATCCATGTATGAGAAGGAATCTACACCAGGTTTTAACTCCATGTATGAGGAGGAATCTAGGCCAGGTTTAAACTCCTTGTATGAGAAGGAATCTAGGTCAGGTTTAAACTCCTTGTATGAGGAGGAATCTAGGCCAGTTTCAATTCCTTGTATGAGAAGGAATCTGGACCAAGTTTAAACTCCTTGTATGACGATGAAATGCAGGATAAATCCAGGATAGGTTTAAACTCCTTGTATGAGGATGAAATGCAGGATAAATCCGGGATAGGTTTAAACTCCTTGTATGAGGATGAAATGCAGGATGAATCCAGGATAGGTTTAAACTCCTTGTATGAGGATGAAATGCAGGATGAATCCAGGATAGGTTTAAACTCCTTGTATGAGGATGAATTTCAGGATAAGCAGATTGAATCCAGGAAGAGGATTCAAACTTGAAAAGATGAAAAAAGACTGAAAGAGATTTGTTAAGAAAAGGTTTCCAGATGATTGATTTGTCGAGCTAAATATGGAAAATTCTTTAAGACATCAGCTTAGTTTAACACCAGAGAGAGAAACCTAGTTCTAGAGCAGGGATTCTCACCAGTAGAACATAGAACCTAGTATCAGAGCTGGGACTCTTACAAGGAGAATATGGAACCTAGTTCCAGAGATGAGATACATATCAGAATAATATGGAACATAGTTTCAGAGCTGAGACACATATCAAGGGAATATGGAACCTATAGTTCCAGACCTGAGATACTATCAGAATAATATGGAACATTATAGTTCCAGAGCTGAGATACATATCAGAATAATATGGAACATAGTTCAAGAGCTGAAATACATTTCAGGAGAATATAGAACCTAGTTCCATAACTAGTATACATAACTAATGACGATGGAACCTAGTTCCAGAGCTCAGATATATATTAGAAGAACATGGAACGGTATCTTTGAAAATCAGGACGGAACATTTATTGATCTAAAAATAAAATGGCGGGGATATAGTTAAGAATGTGCAGTGTATACAGTTTACAATATTTGAACCCGAGTTTGCGTACATATTCCCTCCCTATAATCCTTGCATTGTAATCGTTAGATCTATTGAAGTTTACTGTGAAAAGGCATTATAGGAACAAGTTTCAATAGCTTCACAGAAATGCGGGAAGGTTAAAATTAACCAAATGAGCAGAGTTCAGAAAACCTTGCGGCATTGAAATCTAATTAAAAATGGTCGCAGAATGTTTTAAATTTTCTTATTTTGCTAATTTATTTTTTGATATTTTCAGTTTTGAATATTTGGATATTTTCCGAATTATGTTTCTATTTTCCTCTGGTTAAGAGTTGGTTTCCTAAGTAGAACAATAAACAAAGAAACCGGTTAATCTCCCATATTGGTTTTCAATATACAAACAAGGAGGCGAGCTATTGTATCTTGGATACTTTCAATGCAAACTTACAAATCTTACAAAGATTAGAAATAAGTGATTATCAGGGTTAAAAGTTTATTTCTCTGAAATTTAACAAGATTTGATGTCATTCACAACTAGCTCATTCTATCTTATAAGAATAAAAGAAATTGTAGTTTCTAAGACTAAACCTCTTGTATATTGTAGCATTGAAAGGATCATTAAGAGACAAAAGAGACTTCTCATAATGTCATTCACAACTAGCTCATTCTATCTTATAAGAATCAAAGAAATTGTAGTTTCTAAGACTAAACCTCTTGTATATTGTAGCATTGAAAGGATCATTAAGAGACAAAAGAGACTTCTCATCTCAGGGTTTTCAGAGACAACAGAGCGTTTTCAAGTTTATCCAGAGACAATATGGAATTTACAAGTTCATCTAGAGACAACAGGAACTTCTCAAGTTCATCCAGATACAAAAGGACCTTTTAAGGTTATCCAGAGACAACAGGGACTTCTTAAGTTTATCCAGTGTTAACAGGGACTTCTCAAGTTTATTCATAGACAACAAGGGTTTTTTCAAGTTTATCCAGAGAAAACAGAGACTTTTCAAGTTCTCAAGGTCATCCAGAGACAACATGGCCTTCATAAATTCATTCATAGACAACATGGACTTCTGAAGTTTATCCAGAGACAACAAGGACTTCTCAACGTCTTCCAAAGACAAACAGAACTTTTCTAGTTTATCCAGAGCCAAAAGGGACTTCTGAAGTATATTTAGAGACATCATTATATACATCATTTGTGCACAACATATCGGAATTAATCATTTTTTATCTGA